CCTCCCCAGTAGCTGGGACTACAGGCACCTATCATGTTCCCTGGCTAGGTTTTTTTTTCTTTTTTTTAGTAGAGACCCAGTCTTGCTGTTGCTCAGGTTGGTCATGAACTCCTGAGCTCAACCAATCCACTTGTCTCAGCTTTCTAGAGTGCTAGGATTATAGGTGTGAGGCACCACAGCTGGCTAAGAGACAGGGTCTTGCTTGCTACATTGCCCAGGTTGGTCTCAAACTCCTCTCCTTTCAGGAGTTTGTCTTCCCAAAGTACTGCAATTAGAGGCATGAACCACTAGGCTTGGCCATTTTTATTTTAAACTAAGTTATGTGTATGGAGTTTAAATTTTTAAAAAGTCAAGTAATTCATATTAAAAGGCTATAATAAAATAATAGCACTTGCTTTCCCTTCCCCATCATAGATTCCTGCTCTTTAGGGTCCCTACTTTCAATCCCTTAGCTGTTTCCTCTGGGTATTTCTTTTATATTTCTTTCTTTTTTTTTTTTTTTTTGCTGGGGCTGGGTTTGAACCCACCACCTCTGGCATATGGGGCCAGCGCCCTACTCTTTTGAGCCACAGGCGCCGCCCATTACTTTTATATTTCTAAAATACCCTGCTTATACCACTACTTCTTGAGTTACCGATATCAGGCATTATATGATAATTTCTTACCATGGTGATGAGGATGTTTTTTGTTCACATGTTTTGCTCTCCATTTCTTTTATTGTCTAACACACTGTATCATTGAGCATAAGTGATGAAGATTTAGAAATGCCCCTTCCTAGTCCCTCTTTCCTCTGTCCTCTGTGACATAGTTCTATCATTATATATATGTATATGTGTATATGTATGTGTATATATATATTTTGTTTTCACTATACATATATATATATATATCTTTTCCTTTTTGGAGACAGAGTCTCACTTTGTCGCCTTTGGTAGAGTGTTATAGTGTCATAGCTTACAGCAACCTCAGACTCTTGGGCTCAAGCGATTCTCTTCCCTCAGCCTCCCAAGTAGCTGGGACTACAGGTGCCTGCCACAACATCTGGCTATTTTTAGAGATGGGGGTCTCGCTCTTGCTCAGGCTGGTCTTGAACCTGTGAGCTCAAGCAATCCACCAGCCTTAGCTTCTCAGAGTACTAGGATTATAGGTGTAAGCCATCAGGTCCAGCCCCACAATATTTATTATTTGTTTGTTTTGAGTTGGGGGTCTCTCCGTGTTGCCCAACACAACCATTCACTCACCCCAGCCTTCTGAGTAACTGGGACTACAACTTGCCCCATACAGTGTTTAAAATCCAATATTATGGGCTCGTCTCACGTAGCACAGTGGTTATGGTGCCAGAGGGTGGCGGGTTTGAACCCAGCCTGGGCCAGCTAAACAACAATGACAACTAGAATAAAAAAATAGCCGGGCATTGTGGTGGGCACCTGTAGTCCCAGCTACTCAGGAGGCTGAGGCAAGAGAATCGCTTAAGCCCAAGAGTTTAAGGTTGCTGTGAGCTGTGATGCCATGGCATTCTACCAAGGGTAACATAATGACACTCTATCTCAAAATAAATAAATAAACAAAATTCAGTATTATGACCAGATGCCATGGCTCACACCTGTAACCCTAGCACTCTATCTAGGAGGCCGAGGCGGGGGCATCACTTGAGTTCAACACACCCTGAGGAAAAGCAAGAGCCTGTCTCTGCTGAAAATAGAAAAATTAGCCAGGCATCTTGGTAGGTGTCTATAGTCACAGCTACTCAGAAAGCTGAGGCAGGAGGATCACTGCAACCAAGGAGTTTGAAGTTGCTGTGAGCTAGGCTGATACCATGGCACTCTAGCCTGGGCAGCAGAGTGAGACTCTGTCTCAAAATAAATAAATAATTAAATACTGTATCATATTCACAACATTATGATCATACATTGCTAGCAGTATACCATCCCTATACCTTGTTTCTTGGACAACACAGTTATGTTAAGTTTCCTATGTAGGTATGGCTAATTTTTCCCCAAATAATGTTAGCATCTCTCGTATTTCAATAAATATTTATTCTGTGTTCAAACATGGTCCATCTTTTCCCAGAGTTTATTGTGCTGCTTTTCCAGTTGGAATAGGTGGCTCTATGTGGCCTCTGTGCAGCTGTCACATTGAGTCTTCCCTTTGCCATTGTCTTGTGGTGAAGCCCATTATGGTACCCCATGACTTCCTAGCCTCCTGGCTTACACTGCATAGAAGGAACCTGGGATTTAACTACAATGTACACAGACTTTGAGGCAAAGCCCAGGTTTTCACTCTCCCACAACACACCTTGCTCTCCCAAATTCTGAGCTTTTCTTACTTCTCCAGGGAAATTGGCTCATTGTCACTTCCCCTGCCCGGCCAAAGCATTTAACCCATCTTTTAAAAACAGATTGAACCCTCTCAATTGCCCATTTTCTTTGTCTTTCTGGAACAATGACTTTTACTATCATTTTGATAGTATTTGGGGAAGAATAAAAGATCAGTCATAAAGGTCATAAAGCAAGCTTGAAAATGTTTTACAAATGATGGCTGCCGGTGCATTCATGATAGCTTTGACAATTTCTCCCACCAATGAAATTTTCACTTTTTGTCCTGTCTGTATATATCTCTGATCATTTGACCTGTTAATACTGAGCTAAAAACAAAAATCGCAACATACAAATACGTATTTTTTTACATATATATAAACACACATAATTATTATTAAACTTTTAAAAATTATTTTGCCATCAAGTACTTTACATTAAGCAGATTAATGTATCTGAACAGATATCAAGGAAGGGTCAGATAAATAGGTATGTCTTTAATACTTGAATGTTATTCCCTCTGAAGATGAAGAACCCAGTTAACCTCAGTGTTCTTAAGCAGATGCAAAAGTATAGCATATTTTTTTTTTAATATAGGTTACTTTTTTGAATGTGTGAATGTTTTTGATGGCATTAAATAAAGGCCCCTTTTCTAGTAGAAGTGACTACTTCCGGTAGTCTTCTGTTTTGTCAGCTTCATCTTTCAAGATGCTTATGTAAGGAAAGATGTTTCATGCATATTTTATCTGCTTTTCTGATTGTGCTTTTCATGGTATTCTTGTTACAAAAGCAATCTAGTGATTTTCCTTTAGAATTTCCTTAATGCTTTTTAAGCCAGCTAACTTACACATGTTAGTTTCATACTTTGCTGGTAGGGGTGTCTCCCTAGGAGACATTATCATTTAGACTCTTTTCCTCTCCACAGTTACAAAAAGTAACTCTGGGAGGCATCATCAATGGCCATTACATTTTTTTGTGCAACCTGTACTTCTGTCAATTCCTAGTAATCCCACTCTTTCTTTCTCATAGGAAGCCCCTTCTTCTCAGGACATCCTGGTGTTCCTGACAGGTCAGGAGGAGATTGAAGCAATGAGCAAGACCTGCCGAGACATTGCAAAGCACCTTCCAGATGGCTGCCCCTCAATGGTGGTCCTTCCTCTGTATGCCTCTCTGCCCTATGCACAGCAGCTCCGTGTCTTCCAAGGGGCCCCAAAGGTGAGTGTACCACCTTTCCTGTGCTTGTCATCAGGCTCCAGATAAGGTATATGGTATGAGATGTTCAGATACCAGATCAACTAGTTGAGAAGGTGCTGGAATATAGTGCTCAGCTACAGATATAGCTCTCCTTTGCTAAAAACTGAAACAGTTGGGCTCAGTCGATCACACCTGTAATCCCAGTGGCTCAGGAGGCTGAGGTGGGAAGGTCATTTGAGGCCAATAGTTCAAGACCAACCTGCACAACATAGTGAAATTCTGTCTCTACAAGAAAAAAATAGAATTAGTAAGAAGTTGTGGTACATGCCTGCAGTCCCAGGCACTCAAGAGTCTGAGGCAGGAACCGAGAAGCTTGAGGATGAGTGAACTATGACCGTGCTACTGCACTCCAGCTGGGTGATAGAGTAATACCCTAATTTCTTGGAAAAACAAAACAAAACACCCCAGAGAAATAGTTACCAAGTTGCTGGGTGAGGGAGATTCAAAAGCAAAAGCTGAAAGGTAAACAGGTGACTGCTCTAAGGGCCAACATAAACCACGTTTGTCCATTGTGCTGTTATTGTGGGCCTCAGCTGCTGGCACTGTACTAAAGCTTACAGTGTCTCTCATCCCTGTGGGAACCAGCAAGGTAGCTTATGACCCCCTGGGGATACTGAAGCCCCAAGAGGGAAAGTAACAATTGCTCTATGGGCACTCAGTAAGTAACTGGCAGGGCTGGGTTTCCAACCCGTATTTGCTTGTTTCTGAGTCCTGTGTTTGTTCCATTGCATCTCATCACCTAAAATTAATCTTTAGGACTGCAGCTTTCTTTCTGCACCTGCCCAATTAGTGGCCCGCCATTAATGTTAATGACTGCCATTAATAACAGAATCATCTTTTCTTGGTCATGAGTGAACTGTGGAAATTAATGGTGAGAATGTTTTAACACTGCTGAATCATACATGTATCATACAGCTTTCTGGTTTTCTTCCTCCTTTTAGGGCTATCGCAAAGTGATCATTTCAACCAACATCGCTGAAACCTCCATAACCATTACAGGAATAAAATATGTAGTTGACACTGGCATGGTTAAAGCAAAGAAGTATAACCCTGGTGAGAATTTGTAGCTCATGAATGTCTCTCCTATGTATAGCGAGCAACCACTCATACTAGTCCCACAGTTTTCCACCAAGTGAGCATTTTATATTTGTGACCACGTGAAATCTGAGTGGCAGGCACCATGAGACAATACACAAGTCAAGTCCAGAAAGGAATCTTGAGGCAGATATGTGGATAAGAGTCAAGGCAGGAAAGAAGAGTTCAGGTTTAGCAAACTTGGGAACAGAGGGTCAGAGATCTGGGCAGAGGTCTGGAAGCCCCACACACACACCAGAAGTTACACAGACTGATGGCTCTGAGGTCAGGGACAGCTGGATCCAAACAAAGGCTGTCATCAGAAATTGTGTTTCAGTGTGGCTGATTTGTGGCCCAGACTTCCTAGAATGAAGCAGTTCCCTTGGGATGAAGTGAGAGATGGAAGTGAAATACTAGCTGTCTCCTAAGAAGGTACAGTGGGAAGCTGACTCACAGTCATTTTCACTCGTGTGGTTTTTTTTTTTGGCTGTGGCTGGGTTTGAACCTGCTACCTCCAATATATGGAGCCGTCGCCCTACTCCTTGAGCCACAGGCACCGCCCTCACTCGTGTGTTTTATACTTTGCTTTATTCCACAGAGGATTTGAGGCTGATGAAATGATTATTCCCTGGTCAGGTGCAGTGTCTCATGCTTGTCATTTTAGCACTCTGGTCGCTGAGGCAGGTAGATTGCCTGAGCTCACAGGTTTGAGTCCAGCCTAAGCAAGAGCAAGACCCTGCTGCTAAAAATAGCCAGGTGTTGTGGTGGGCACCTGTAGGCAGGTAGATTGCCTGGGCCCAGGAGTTAGTGAGAACCTGTGTCTACTAAAAATAGAAAAACTAGCCAGGCAGTTTTGAGTTTGAGGTTAATGTGCGCTATGACGCCATGGCACTCTACCCAGGGTGAAAGACTGAGACTCTGTCTCAAAAAAAAGGAAATGAATCTCATTTACTCCTAGAAAGCAGACATCCCATTATCTTTGCTTTATAATAGAACTAGGAGGGGAGATAAAGCACACAAATGACTTGAGGCATTCAATGTCTGATTCGTTGATTAGCAGTATGACCAACTGTCCTAGCATCTGGAAGCTGTCCCAGGTTTAACACTGAAAGTTCTGCATCCCGGGCAACTCTCAGTTCTAGGCACCCTGGGGTTGTTTGCCATCTGTGATCTCAGCCAAAACTGCTGATGCTAC